GCTAAGGTGATGATCTGACTTGAATGTGTGTTTTGTCCGGTTCGTGAGCAGCAGAGTGGGGAGAGGCGCTATGCGTCAGTCATTATCACGAAACATGATCGTATAGGGCTTACACAACGGAAGCCGTGGGGCCCCCTAGAGCGTTGCGTTATGCCGTTCTATCCACCTGGGAACCCGTTATCGTTTCCGCAGTTGTTTACTGTCATATTCGGTGTCCTCGTGTGCCGACGGTCTATATGACCTAAACATTAAACGCAACGACCGTTTCGGTCCTCCGTTTTCTGTTCTCTATATTAGTTCTATATCTTCTAGTCTTATGTTTTTGGGCTCACTATTGGCAAGCAACCAGTCACAGTTGCCCTGTTTATCTCATGTCTTATAATAGTTCTTTTTTATAGAGGACTTATAAAGTGTTCACACTGTAATTTATAAATATGAATTAAAATCTATTCGATTACTCTTCTTTTATTATATTTTTGTAATAGTGTTCGTACTCATGTAAAATCATGTCAACAAACAATACCAAATCAGATCATTGCATTTCTAGCCATGCCTCATTTCGCTCTTTTATTTTTGCTCTTTTCCGAGTCCTGTTTGCAAGCTGATTCTGTCTTTTTTTGCTCGTACTTATCGCTCTCATTTTTCCTTGATCAGTGTTCGCTGGGTTTTTACTACTAGTGTCCATGCGCTTTTTCGATGCTTTTTGGTCTCTCATTCGCCCGATAGTTGTGGAGTATTTTTTGTTCTATCATTATCGGTTATCTCTATCCTCTTTTCTGATCTCTTGAATTTTAAATTTTATTTAATTCTAGCCTCTGTTTTTAATGATTGTTGTACGGTAGGAAATGAGAGAGTGTGTGTTTTTTCTTGACACTTTTGTGATTCCCTGACACACTCGGGACATTTATTATTCTATGTTATTAAATATGATGTTTGTCTACAATTAAGTGTCTTTGCATGATCTGAGGTCCGCCTTTTTTAGTATTAATATATATATATCAAATCAAAATGCACCACATCACTTTTATACAATTTATATAAAGAAGAGTTTTATTAATATTATCTAGTTATTTTTATTTATTGTGTTTAGATTGGTTTTATTGTCTATGTTTGAAGTTTATGTTGATAAAGATGAGTGGGTATCCATACAAGTGGTTGAGGTAATTAGAATACAGTGTTTCTACAAAATGATAATGTCTGTTACTTGCCTCTCCTAGGTTCCTTTTTTTTACACCTGCCTCCGGTGCTCTAAGGACTCACAACACCTTAAATTGGCAACAACATACTTCACTTCTCTATTCCTGAGGCCGATCCGTCTCCCAAGAGTAGGTGAGTCTTTTCTTATTTGAACTAGAGGTTGTCGTTTGAGCTTCGTGGAGAAGTCGAGTTGTTATGCATGTGCCTGGGTCTAATAGGAGAGAAAGGTGTAATTCAAATGGGTGGTCCGCGCTTCCGGGTCGGTGACATATGTGTTGATGAACCAGCAGTCGCGGGTGGGCGCTGCGCCGGCCCGGCCTCTGGGAGTACTCGGAGCGAGCGCTGCGAGGGAGTTATGTCAGTTCAGAAGCTGCATCATGAAGTCCTGGATCTGAGCGGCCGCTATACAAAGTGACCCGCCTGGAGAAACTCCCCTGAGTTGTACTACAGAGCGCTCTCAGGTAGTAGAGCCGTCTACGCTGGGCCTGCTCGGGTTCTTGTTTCTTTACAAATCGGTTGGATGCAGGACTGATGAATGCAGTAAAAAATGCGGGTATATAGGTTTATTGTTTATTTGTTTATTCATAACATGGAATAACTATTACTTGGTTGGTTTTGGTATANAGCATAACGTTAGCATTTTGCTTCTGGCGACTAGATTTATGATTAGAAAATTATAAAAGTAGGGTAGACATGTGGAGATTATCCGGCCGAACAAAACTTGATCCGTCTCTTAAATGTGTCTCAACCACAGACCTTATTTCCAGCTATTTTCCAAAATCCTATGGAGAAATTGCATTGCGTTGCTTTTTGTCGAAGGAACCGGAAGGAGTTTACTTCCGGGTTTTAGGACGCGTCACTGTGGCACACATAAGCACACGTGTTACATAGTGATGTCATGGTCACTGAAGTAGAAAAAGGAGTCCAATTGAGGCGTTTCAGGCATTTTAGCCTTTGCAGAACATTTACATGCACTAAAATCTATAAAACACACTACAGGAAAGGGAACACCCAAAAAAGCACACAATATGGCCTCTTTAAGTATCTTTTAACATGTTTCTGTATGATGACAGAACTCCAGATTATTATTTTTCAGTCTCCAGCAGCCTACCCCTCCATGAACAGCTCCTCCAGCTGCCCCACGGCGCGGCCCAGCTCCTGTGGGAACGTGCCGATTTTGTTGAAGGACAGATTGAGTTGCCGTAGTGACGGGCAGCTGACGGCGGGGCCAAAGGTCAGCAGCGGACCCACACAGTTCCTGGAGACGTTGAAGGTGCTGAGCGAGTGCAGAGACAGCAGCTCCTCCGGCAGAGACTGCAGCTGATTGGCCTGCAGGTCCAGCCGAGTCAGACTCTTCAAACTCTGTCCAATCAGAAACAGGAACAGCTTCAGTGTGCGTCTTCATTTTTATTAAAGGTCCCCTATCATACTGTTTTACATCAATATATTATAGGTCTCAGATACAGAACATGTCTCTGAAGTGTTTGGCTCCAAACACCAAACAGATCATTGCAGTCTGTTACTTTAGATGAAAATAAGGAGCCCCTCCCCACGCCCCTCTGAGAGAGATTTGGTTACAAAGAACTCAATGGTGCTCTAGGAGGAGATTCAGGTGATAAGGT